CGAACCTACGAAACACTGGGCCGCCTGCTGCGGAGTGCGCGAACCCAACCACTCGGCCACGGGGCCAGCCCGAGACACTTTTTCTTTTAAGTAGATAGAAAGTTTTGTATTTCCCCTGCAGGAAAATCCTGCGTTTATTCTGAATGTGTAGAATTCCCTACCCTCCCATCCGCCAATATTATTTAACAGCCTTTCAAAAGTACCGTTTGGCTTTGTAATACATAGATGAAAAGATCATGTGTTCCTTCGTGGAGAACTTAGTTTGAGTACTTTGTAGCTGTGTGACTAGGGAAAGTCGCTTTTCCTGTCTCAGGCTGTGTTCGTCAACCGTGAAATGTGGACAATGATTCCTGTTTCCTAGGGTTGTGAGGATTAGATAAAATCCTTTATGTGAAAACCGTACAGCAATGCCTGACATATCAGATATGCAATAATGACAGTTATTGTTGTTAGTGTTGTGTTCATAATGCAGCAAAGAGAAGTGGTCACTGGGTTTTAGTCTGGCTAGAGGGTATGGCCTAAAGAGGAGTGCAAAGTGGGAAGTGATTGACAGCCGCTGCTATGCCTGAGGCTGGAATTTTTGCAAAGTCGTAATCCGTTTTCTGGATCTCTGGCTGGGATGCTGCCAAACAGTGATTGGTAAGAATATCAGCCTCCCTGACTGTTGGCCTGTCAGTCTTGCCACTTCAGTAGAATTGGGATATTTCAAAAAAATTGTGCTAGGAAGTTAAGGAATGTATGTGAGAACTCCTTCAAAGAGAGCTCAAAAACAAAGAAATGGTTTAGTTGACTGAACAGAGATTTCAGCCCAAGATAACTTAAGCCCTGTCACAGCTTGCTGTGGCCAGTCCAGCTTACTGAACATAATGTCTCTATTCCAGTCTTAGCTAGAACGTTTTTTTTGAAAAAGGTTAGCCCTGAGCTAACATCTGCCACCAATCCTCCTCTTTTTTTTTTTTTGGAAGATTTTATTTTTTTCCTTTTTCTCCCCACAGCCCCCCGGTACATAGTTGTATATTCTTAGTTGTGGGTCCTTCTAGTTGTGGCATGTGGGACACTGCCTCAGCATGGCTTGATGAACAGTGCCACGTCTGCACCCAGGATTCGAACTGACAAAACACTGGGCCGCCTGCGATGGAACGCGCGAACTTAACCACTAGGCCACGGAGCCAGCCCCCAATTCTCCTCTTTTTGCTGAGGAAGACTGGCCCTGAGCTAACATCTGTGCCCATCTTCCTCTACTTTATATGTGTGACGCCTGCCACAGCATGGCTCTACAAGTAGTGCGTAGGTCCGCACCCAGGATCCAAACCAGCCAATCCTGGGCTGCAGAAGTGGAACATGCACACTTAACTGCTGCGCCACCAGGCTGGCCCCTAGAACCTTTTCTTGTTTGGATGTTTGACCAACTACTGATACTCTCTGGTTGTTATTTAAGCCAAATTATTCTTTTGACTCAGCCAACGTTAACATGGGAAGGCGCCTAGTCTTAACTGCTCAGGGATCTGGTCCTAGCATTCGGAAAGGAAGAGAAGAGCCTAAAAGTTATTTTTATCCTCTTCCTAGCTAACTTTTGAAAATTGTAATCCAATAGATTACACCAGGAAGACAGGAGGGGCACTCATTTGTGGAAGGTAAGTTAGTTGTGGTACATCTGAATAGGAGCTGATGGCTGTGTGCTCCAGCCACAGGATTCAGTTTTGAGCTCTAGTTGGGTATTTGCATATGCGTATAACCCGGAACCTCTGGGTTTTAATCTAACTAAAAGCTTAATATCAAAACCAACAAAAGAAAAAGTAGCCAAATCTCTTTAAAACTGAACTAGCCAAACAAATAAAAGCAGTGGCAGGAAACCGGAAGGTTAATCGGTGAGATGGCATGAAGTCATATGACAATATGGTCTTAAAAATGTTTTGTTTGTTTCTAAATTGGAGATCAAAAGCTCTAATCCCATTTCTCATAAGTTTTTGCTGACATTTTTATGGATATCATTTGTGTATGTTTGTGTGCATGTCTATATATAGAAAAAAATCACTACTAAATATGATAAATAAAAAGAAGAATCGACTATAATATCATCATTGAGAATTAGCTACTTAAAACTGGAATTTAGTTGATGAGTATTCCAAGGCGTGAATTGGCTGTCATTTATTTAACTCACTGATTTTCAGTAGCACTGATTTGGAGGCCCGTTCTGCCCCCATCAGCTGGGAGCCTTTGGGCCAGGCCCCTTCCTGGGACTGGGTTTCCTAGTCTGTTTTTCTGCTCTCCTATCCCAAACTTGTTGTCCAGTTGATCCCCTGGAATCATTTGTATGGAACACTTGTAATGGTAAGTTACAGGACCTCCGCAGGCCGTTGTTACGTAGTTGTTTTGTTTTTTAACTTGGATTCAGCAAAATCCAAGAATGGGTTGAAGAAGATACTACTGGACAGGAAATGTATTACTGGATTTATTTTTAGTGTGTTCTTACACTCTGTGACTTACAGTGTTAATCATTATATTAATTATGAACTTAGTAGGCTAAGAATTAGTTAAGTACGGAGATTAATGTTTTCAAGGATAATAGGGAGCTGAGTTCTGGGGGCGGAGTTGTTCTTTGGCACTGAAATACACAAGACATATGATGATTTTCAAGTTCCATGCTTAGGGAGCCTTTTTTTCCCTCTCCCCAGATGGCCTTTTTTTTTTTGCTTTAAAAAGCATTTAATCATTTTTAATATGAAATAGTTCAAATACACAAAGCAGAGAGGAAAGTACAGTGTACCCTATATACCATCACTATATTCAACAATTATGAAGAGTTTGCCCTGTTCGCTTCAACTGCCCCCCTGCCTTGCTCCCTCTCCCTTTTGCTGAACTGTTTTAAAGCCAATTCTGGACCCTGTACATCTGCTCGTGTGCATCTCTGAAGCATCTGCACGTCTTCCTCCGACACCCTACTGTCCGTATTCCACCATCGACCGTGATTCCTGAGGGCCTCTTGTGAACTTTGGTCTGGGTAATGGGGAGACACAGAGGACTTTGCAGGGCAGGGGTGTGTGTGTGCGACCGAGTTGTGTCCGTGTGTGGGATGGTTTGGGCATGGGGGAGGTTAGAGCAGGCAGGCCAATTATGAACACCCTCGGTCTAGGTGTCAGGTGGTGGGGTCTGATGCTTGGCAGTTGCAGCAGGATGGAGAGGAAGAGGAAGATGAGCTGGAGAACCTCTGGGGGCCCACTGACTAGCCTGGCCTCCGGTGGATGCCTGCCTGGAGGACAGAGGGGACCTTGGTGTGAGGATGGGGTAGCTTGCCGTTGTCTGTGCCCACAGGTTCCTGCAGGCAAGAGTGGGACCCCAACGGCTAAGGTTCCCCTTCTAGGGAGAATGGGCTCATTTTGACCACCTCATCCCAGGTGGCACTTCTCTGTAGTACCCTAACGGAGCCCGTCTGCTGCCTGGCTTACTGGACCAGCACCCATGCCTTCATGACTCACTTCTGTTAGCATGTCAGAGCTGGAAGGCTCTGAGTTTGGTTAATGTCCATAAACGAGGAGTGGCTGTGGGTAGGTCTCTTTAGGGTCCCCTTTGGGTTCCTTGTGTTTCCCCTCAGCTTGGACAAGCCCCTTGGCCTTGTTGAGAACTGATATTCTTGGAAACTATAGACTTGGGAAACTGCTAAAACGTGCAAAGTAAAAACATTGGGCATGTTTCTTGCTGGTAATGACTATAATAAATTAGAAATTTTATTTTATTTATTTATTTTTTTTGAGGAAGATTAGCCCTGAGCTAACATCTGCCAATCCTCCTCCTTTTTTTTGCTGAGGAAGACTGGCCCTGAGCTAACGTCTGTGCCCATCTTCCTCTACGGTATATGTGGGACTCGTACCACAGCATGGCTTGACACATGGTGCGTAGGTTCGCACCTAGGATCCAAACTGGCGATCCCTGAGCCACGGAAGCAGAACGTGCGAACTTAACTGCTGTGCCACTGGGCTGGCCCCTAGAAATTTTATTTTAAACCAACAATAATTATAGTTGATAGTATATATAGAAAAGTGTTCATTTGCGTGTGTTTCCTGTTAATGGACATAAGGCCAGATTTACCAACAGAAGTTGTGTAAAACCACAGAACATAAATTGAATGTGGGGGACCTGGCTGTGGCAGGCTTGTGAATATATGTCACAGTGCCGGAAGACCTATTGAGGGAAAGAGGATGGAAGGCAGCCGTTGTGGGGTGTCTTTCTTGTGCTAGTCTTAACATATATATTTAATTCCCACAATAAGCTTAAAAGCTAGGTGTTTTCTTTACCTTAGTTAATTGGTTGTGTTGGCTGCCGCGATGATGGTTATGATGATGGTGATGATAATGATGATGATGATCAAAAACCTAGAGGTTAACAGGAACTTCCCTAGGAGGTGGTGTGGCTCTGACTCCCGAGTCCATCTCTTTCCTTCATACCAAGCTGCCTCCCAGCTATTCACATAGTAAGGGTAAGAGAAGAGAGTTAACATTTATGCAGTGTAAACTAGAAATGTATTTTGGTAATTGGAAGTAATTGTCATTTTACCTTGTGACACTGGATTGCAGCGTTTTTCTGCTCCAGTGCACCTGAGGGATTCCAGTGCCTCCCAGGAGGGACTCAGTAAGACAGTGGCGAGCAAATAACAAATATTTATTGAGTGCAAAACAAATTAAAGATAAAATAGACTTCTAGAAAATAGCCTCCATTGTGCTCCGCTGAATACATACACGCATATCAAGGAATCAGTGTATTGGACGCTTTAAGGCCTGAATGAGAATTAAGGGAACTGATCAAGTGACAATAGTAGTTGCTGACTTGGGGTTTAGTGGATAGGGCTGCTTTGCTTCGTTAAGGCGAGGCTCCCCCGGGGAACCGCTGCAGGAGGGTGTCAGTGATAGCATCTGGTGGCACTCTCCAGATGAAACTCAAGTTTAAAGAAGAAACTGCCTGTGTGACAAGTCACAACTTTGAAACGTCTTCCTTTTCGTGTGCAGGAAAAACCCTGTTGGAGGCTATGTTTCTGTGACTCGAAGGAGCAGGGACGGTGGTGAGAATGTCGGCCCTCAACTGGAAGCCCTTTGTTTACGGAGGGCTGGCCTCCATCACGGCAGAATGCGGTAAGGAGCCCAGGGCGCTGGGGCCGGTTTGCCTGCTGCCTGTGATGGTGTCGGGATTCAGTGTTTGATGTGAATGTAGCTCAAGCACAGAATGTGAGATTATGAAACGTTAATCTCAGAATTCAAAATTTCCTTTTTCTTTTGGTATGCTTTTCAGACAAAATAGTCATTTTGGCTATTTATTACCAGTTTAAGGGTCAAAGTTTAGGGGGAGAAAGTTGAACCAATTGAACAAACAAGTTTCATGAATCATTTTTGGATGACATCTGTCCCTGTTTTCATTGTCCTTTTCCCCTCTTTGCCACTGTTAGCACATCGGGCTGTAAAGAGGTTTGAGGAGCTCAACGGTCCTCCTGAGCCAGATTGCACTTACCTTTGTTATTCCATCCCTTTCCAATTATGTGCCTTATCCGTATCCTACTTGTAGTTCCTCGTCAGTTCAGTTCCACATCAGATCCTGTTTGTTCCTTTGTTTATCCCGTGGAATCGTTCATTCAGCAAATACTGATTCAGCAGCTGCTGAGTGCTGAGTGCTGGACTGGACACTTCATTTGCTTCCAGGGCTCAGTCATTGCTGCCCTGGGACAGAGGCTGCCCCTGAGGAGCCAGTGAGGATCAGGGCTAAGGGTTTCAGGCACCTTAACCACCTACTCACACACCTGCGAAGGTTCTCTGGGCAGGTGGACTTTCCCATTGACAGTGAATCAGGTTTACTGAGTATGGGTTTTATCTGTTTAGATGGACTGTGCGTTAAGTACTGTATTAAGCTTTTTACTTACATTCACAGATTTACTTTTAGATTATAAAACACAAAGTGAGAAACTCCTTTAGAAAATGAACTTTTACTTCCTTTTCATTCAAATGAACCCTATTTTAGCCTTCACGTCTGTAAAAAGTAGTAACTTTTTTTTTTTGTTTTTGAGGAAGATTAGCCCAGAGCTAACTACTGCCAATCCTCCTCTTTTTGCTGAGGAAGACTGGCCCTGAGCTAACGTCCTGTGCCCATCTTCCTCTACTTTATATGTGGGATGCCTACCACAGCATGGCATGCCAAGCAGTGCCATATCTGCACCCGGGATCCAAACCAGAAAACCCCAGGCCACCGAAGCAGAACATGTGCACTTAACTGCTGTGCTGCCAGGCTGGCCCTGTAGTAACATATTTTGAAATGGATTTCCTGTTTGTATGAATCATTCCATGTATCTACTTTGTACAGCAGTGCAGCCTTCTCAAATCCTATGTAGAATAAGATGGGACATAAACAAATATGTAAAGAAAGGAAAATACATTTATCCATTTTTTTTAATGTTTTGGTTCCCAATTTTTTTTAACAGAGAAAAGATTGCAAAGTATCTGCCATTTCTTAATTCTGTTTCTTACTTTACATTATAGTCAGAATGTTTCCCCAGTAATATACCACTGTGTATTTTTATTTAGTAGATTTTTTTTTTCTGTGAGGAAGATTGGCCTTGAGCTAACACCCGTTGCAATCTTCCTCTTTTTGCTTGAGGAAGATTGGCCCTGAGCTAACATCTGTGCCAGTCTTCCTCTGTTTTGTATGTGGGATGCCACCACAGCATGGTTTGATGAGTGGTGTCTAGGTCTGTGCCTGGGATCGGAACCTGCAAACCCCAGGCTGCCGAAGTGGAGTGTGCGAACTTATCCATTACGCTACCGGGCCAGCCCTTGGGATTTCTTTTTATTAAGTGAAATATTTCTTTCTTTACAATTTTTAGGTACATTTCCAATTGATTTAACCAAGACACGGCTCCAGATTCAAGGGCAGACGAATGATGCCAACTTTAAAGAAATCCGGTATCGAGGCATGTTGCATGCTTTAGTGAGGATAGGCCGAGAGGAAGGGCTGAAAGCGCTGTACTCCGGGTAAGCAGACCTTTGGCGTGTATATTTCACCGTGGGCCTCGCAAATGAGTAGACTTAAGATTCAGACTTCATGGAGAAAAAGTAAAAGTTTGAGGTATATTTGAAAAGAGCAAGGTAGATTTTTCATTTCAACTCTATTTTCTACATATGTATTTTATGTAGCAAATCTTGTGGTGAAACTATGTTTTTATTATATTCAAATACAGATAATACAGAAAGTATGCTTGTTTTTGAAAAATTCTGTAATTCAGTATTTCACTCTGAAAATAGCCCTCCCGCTTGGCTATTCTCATTCACCCAGGTTTTTGCCATAACGAAAATGATAAGAGTATTGTCCGTGAGTAAAAGCTGCGTGAACTCCTTGCTTTCCTCCGGTACTTAGTGAACAGTGTGCTGTAGGCGCTGGTTGGGGACGTGAACGAGGCAAGCCCTGCCTGTGTCAGTCAGTCCCCGCGGGAACCAGGATTCATTGGGTGGTTTAAATGAGAGACTTTGATGAAGGAGCTGCTCACGGGTTAAGGGAACAAGTGAAGGCTATTGAGGTACCTGGAAACTAACAAAGTGCGAGGTTGTTGCCAACCCTGGGACCGAAGAGGCAAGGGCCGGAATGGTGTTAGCACCGCCGCCTAGGCCTGAGCCTTGGAGGAGCAGACAGCAGTTGTCGAGGGATGCCTTGGAAGTGCCCAGGGAGAGGAAGAGTACCTCCGCTTCTTTCTCCTCCCACCCTCCCATCTTCCACTGGTTGAATCCACCCAGAGGTCAGCTGGCAAGGGAGCCTGGGTGGTGTCGTCATCCACAGGCACCAGCATCTCTGGGCACAGAGCAGGACAGAGAAGGGTGAGAATGGATCTGGGAGGAGTAATGGGGATCCGCAGCAGCACACTGTCATGAAGAAGCTGTCGTCTAGTGAGGGCTGCAGGTGTGTAAACAGGATCACCAAGGGGTCTGGTAAGTACTGGAGTCAGGTAGAGGCTGGGCAGTCCCAGGCTGTGGGGACGGGGGAAGGGGTGGGTTTTCAGGAAAAGTTGCTCAGTCCAGGAGGTGCTGGATCTGATCTTGAAGGACCAAGATGAGGTAGCCCGGTGAGGTTGGAGGGGAACTATATTCAAACAGAGCCAGTAGTATGTGCAAGAGAGCATGGTGCATCCTGGAAACTGCAGGTAATTCAGCATGGATAGAGTGTGGGGGTTGGTGAGTAGCAAGAGATGGGGTTGAGCAGTAATGAGGGGTCAGGACATGGACAACGTCAGGCTGCGCTGAGCATCTTGGTTTTCTCCAGTATGCCGCAGGTCCCAAACTGGTGCCTCACAGCCCTTCCACCCACTGGTCCCCAAAGATTTTTGTTTTTCAACTGAGCCAATATTTTAAATATGAGAAATTGCACATAAAAACCTGGGATTCCATCTTCTCAAGAAAAATCAACATCTGAGTCCACATTCATTTGCTTATGATCATAGTAACTGGTGTTAAGGATGCTTTCTCTGCTTTACCAAAACCTCTGCCACTCACATAGTGCACGTGTGTATAGTTAGACCCAGCCTGCTTCCCTCACCCACGGCATCTGCCTGGTGCCTGTAAGCACTTGAGTTTGCTATGCCTGTGGCAGGCAGAAGCCACTGAAGGGTTTTGAGTAGAGGGACTGACATGATCAGGTTTCCATTGTAAAAAGATGCCTAACTGCCATGGGGAGAAAGAATTACAGACTAGTAACACTGGAAACAGGCTGTCACATAGGAAGCAGAGACAACAAGGATCTGTCCTGAGGTGGTGGTGTGGGGATGGAGAGAAAGAAGACAGGCTAGAAAGCTATTTAGGGCATAGGATCGACGTACTATGTGGCCTAATATATGAGGAGGTGGTGAGGGAGGAGGAGACCAGGCTAATGTCTTGATTTCTGGTTTTGGCCGGTGTGTAGATGGAGGTTCCCCTCCCTAGTCTAGGAAACAGCAGAGGAGAGCTGATTGCTTGGAGAAGAAAGATAATTAATTCAGTGTGGGACAGTTGATCTAGAGGTGGGTGTAGGCCATGTGAATTGAGAAACCTAGGAAGCAGTTGGAAATGCATCTTTGGATCAATGTTGGAAACACGGATTTCAGAGTCATCAGTGTTTGACAGTAGTTGAAGCCGTGGGAGCAGATGAGCTCGCCCAGGGAGTGCGTGGAGCAAGGAGAGAAGAAAGTGCAGGATAGAATTCTGGGGAATCCCAGAGGACGGAGGTAGGATGCTGCAGAGAACAGAAAAGACGTGGGAGAGGGTGCTGTTCAGCAGCTCAGGGAGGAGACAGCTGCAAGTAGGACAAAGGGCGGACAGTAGCAAATGCTGCGGGGGCGTTATACAAGGTACTAATTGAGAAGCATCATTTAATTAAGCGACAAAGATGTCAGTTGTTCGCCTGGGTGAAAAGGGAGTTTTGATGGGGAGGCTGGAGGGAAGCCAGATTGCAATTCAAGAAGGAAGCTGGAAGTGCAAAAACTGAGCTGGGGAGTGTAAATGCCACAGGGTGGTTCTGGGGTCAGAGAGGCTAACGAGAGGGAGAGGAAATACCTGGAAGAGGGCCTCCAAGGAGGTAGATGAGCTCCAGAGCGGCAGTGGAAGAATGATGGATGCCAACAGAGGCCATGTTTCACTGGGCGCTTCGTACTGAGAAAGGAAAGCCCTCTCCTCTGAACGTGAATGGGCAAGTGGAACTCCACTGACGCTTCATTAAGGATGAATACGAGGGCTGAGCTTTCACTTAGTGGACTCATAATTTGCACAATTTTAACTGAACTCACCTATATCTCTGTTGGACTTTGAATTTTAAGAAATCTGCTTTAGTGTGGAAGGCAGATACGTGAGTGTCTCTCTGTGTGGGGCTCTTCTAGAAGATTTTAAGAGATTTTTTAGAATTTTTCCATCCCTTTGTAATTGGTTTGACAGGATTGCCCCTGCGATGCTACGGCAGGCTTCCTATGGCACCATCAAGATAGGCACTTACCAGAGCTTGAAGCGACTATTTGTCGAACGCCCAGAAGGTGAGTGGGGAATCTTTTGTCCAAGTGGTTTTGGATCTGTTTTCTTCAGGTTATTTGTGACTTTACTACTCCTGAGGAGAGCTCTGGGTATAAGGCTAAATGAATTGTGCTTAAAGCTAGTCAGTTATCAGCCGAATTTAGGGGACTAACAGTTAAAAGGAGCAGTCTTATAAACATTCTCCTGACTTGTCCTCATCTCCAAAATGTCTAGGCTAGAGAATAAGTTACAGTTCTAGCCAATTTAAAATTTTCTAAAGTCATAGGAATTATCACCTATTTTTCAGGGAAGCAGTGAATACGTTTTTTAGTGCTAAGAGCTCTGAGTTCTAATAATTTGTTGCTGGTTCATTCTGCGGCTTTGCTTTTGTCTATAGAGCAGCCTGTCTCTTTTTACAATGGGACGATCACCAGTCGCTGTCACATGAGAGTGATAAACAGCCACACCGCTTTGGAAGTGCTTCAGTATACTTCAGATTAAATCTGTGCGATGGGCTTTAAAACTTTATCTCCATTTCTCATAGACTCTCAAAATGGCTCATAGGCGTGTGTCTTTTTTATTCTCCTACCGGATATTCCTCATCTTAATTGCTTCAGTGGTCTGTATGTACACACAAAAGGGAATTGGTAGATAGTTACTAACTTTGCATGATAATTCACATTCTTTTTGGATATCAAGAAATTTTGCTAAGCAAAATCCCTTTAGCCAGCAAAATCCTCAATCCTTTTAAAATTACTTGATTCATGAAGCATAAATTTCTTTATTCTCTTAAGATGCGCAAGTGGTATGTATATGAGTTACACTTATGAAGAGCTCTGTATATATGTAAAGTCAAGTAATATGTCTGCATTTACAGATGAGACCCTACTGATAAATGTGGTCTGTGGAATTCTCTCTGGAGTCATATCCTCGACCATTGCTAATCCAACTGATGTTTTGAAAGTAAGCAGTCCTTTCTATCTCTTATAGGCATCCTCTGTATTTTCTTACTGAGAACCATGTCCAGATAATGAAAATCTGCCAATATAGCGTACACTATGTATGTGTGAATCTGTTTATAATTTAACCACTGTGAAGACTCTAACTTATAAATATCTACTAGGTGAATTTCTCACTGGTAGAGATGAGTTCAAAAGTAGAGCTCATTTGGGAGACTTTGGAAGTTTTGTTGATTTAGCAGAAAATAAATTTAGGCTTGGATGCATTTGAATTTCATTTTTCACTGAATATCTCCCTTGTTTTGTTGGTTCATTAAAAATAGATGAGCTATAGTTTTAAACAAGTCTAGGCTACTCATTAATGACCCTTTCTGAACGTATTATGTTATCCATTAATTTGATTTCAGGAAATACTAATGAAAATATTTACTTACCACAATTAGACATGTCACATTAGATGACCTTGTTGACAATAGCCGGGATACAGCCTCCTTAAATCCTTTTTGGAATAAGGCAAGGGGCTAACTATTTACATAAAATAAAAATTGGGCCTGCGTTACTTTTTGAACCCTCTCCAGTTATTCCTTTCCCTCCCTCCCTCTCCTTGTTTCCCCCTTTATTTAACCGGCATTCACTGTGCTTCTCCCTTGTACCAGTGGGTGTACTGGGTGCTTAGAATCCAAAAATGAGTAAGACAAGGACCCTGCCCTCAGCCCTCAGTCTAATAGGAGATTCTGACGAGCATCAACATTTTATGCAGCAGCACGTTGAATGCACTGCAGTTATGCACAGTGAAGGGACAGCATGTGTGAAGAAAAACACAAGGCACTTTTGCCATAAATTTATGCTATGTTGGGGTACGATTACTGGGAAAAAATATCTTTATTCCTATTAATCTCTGAAATGTACATCAGGGCTTCAGAAAGGCAGTTCCTGTGTTTTGGTTTATTTTCCCAAGTTAGCGTGGCAGTAACAGTTCCCTTTAGAAGTTTGAGGTAGTGTGTTTGGTCCCTAAACCAAAATAAGGTACCAATTTTTTAGTGAGAAGTCTCTTTTTGTTCTTAAAAATGCAGAGAGCTACATCAAACATTATTTTTATGTTGGAATCTTGGTCATGTGAATTCCGTGGCTGTTTCAAAGTTCATTTATAAGTTCAAGTGTAACAGACTGCGACGAGCGTCATGTGGCCATCCCGTGGCCAGCTCGCCTGCATACCTTTTGGTTCAGCTGGTTGGAAATAATAGTGGCTTGGAGTAACTAAAATAGGAAATACGTTCACCCATGCTTGGTGCTGCCAGGTACACTGAATACTCTTACTAATTATGTTAAATCTTTAGAATTACCATCATGTTCTCTCTTTCCTACTTAGTAACCTGTAGGGAAATATGCCATTTTCTTTCCTTTTCAAAAGACTATTTAAAAAAAATGAATATCTTTTGACACTTCATGAGCTACTGTATCCAGGACTCTCTGGACTCTTCTAGATGCTTTTTTGTTGATTCCAAAGTGCCTGAGAACCAATCCTTATAAATTAATTTTAGTCTACTGAGGACATTTTAAACTGGCATTTATATTATAATTTTTTTCTTGTAATGAGCATTAAACAAGAGATTGAATGATTTTCAGAGGTCTACATTTGGGGAGAAGTGTGCTAGTGTCCTCATGTTAGTCTTTAAAATCATCTCTAGATACGGATGCAAGCACAAAGCAGCACCATTCAAGGAGGAATGATAGGCAACTTCATTAACATTTACCAGCAAGAGGGAACGAGAGGACTGTGGAAGGTAAGCTTGAAAAACGCATCCATCTGACTTAGTTCTTCCTTTTTTGAGTTCCTTTTTCCTATTTCCATCATTTTATTTAATCCAAATGGCATAATGGAGTAAGGGAAGAAGAGTGACATCTGCCCTGGAAGATGGCTTCTTCCTTAATTTCCTCATCTGTAAAATGGAAATATAAGGAATACGTCATGATTTTAAAGGACTTTCTGAATAATTCATATATAAGAGATTCTGTGAATATTGAGTACTTTTTTGTTTCCTTGCTTTTTAAAAAATTCTTATGGAGAAGGGGTTTCTGGGTTACAGTTACATTGGATTTTTTGACCTGTATGATTTTATGGCTCGTAAGTGGTGACTGTTATTATTAGGCAAACGCTGGTATGGAGTGCTACTTGCTACTATTCTAGTGGTTTATCAGTAAAGGTCATCCAGTACAATCCTCTTATTATGTACAAGGAAACCAGAGGCTCTGAGAGGTGACTTGTCCTGGCTAAGGTCTGGCCAAGGTCATATAGTTAGTACCGGAATCAGAATTAGACTTTGGAGCTTCTGACTTCCTACGCTCTAGTCTTTTCTACTCTGTCACTACATTTCTGCCTATCAGCAGCAAAACATAAAAATTGCTGTAGTTTGTGGAGTAGAACCTTTGCACATTTGCAAGGCTTGTTTTTTGCAGAGACATCTGAATCTAATATTTTTGCGCAGGGCGTGTCCCTCACCGCTCAGAGGGCTGCTATTGTTGTTGGCGTGGAGCTGCCGGTCTACGACCTCACCAAGAAGCATCTGATCCTCTCGGGCCTGATGGGAGACACCGTGTATACCCACTTCCTGTATGTTGAGGATTTTTAAAAAATTAATATTTTAGGTATGCATGAGTTGAGGGTGGAAATTTGCTACATACTTATGTGAATTTAAAGAAAGTTGATTACAAAAGTATTATATTCTCATATTTGAAAAATTACAATACAGAAGCGAACCAGGAAAAAGTAAAAGTCCTTATCCGTTTTTGTAGGTAGCCGTTCTTAACAGTTTGATGTGTACTTTCTAGGCGTTTTCTGTGCACATGCAAATATGTCTACAAAAGGATATTACATGTATGGTACTTTATTACACAAATAAGATCGTGCTTTGCATTCTCTTACTTTTTAGTTTTATCTTTATTTTTTCAGCTTTATTGGGTATAATTGACAAATAAAATTGTAAGATATTTAAAGTGTATGACATGATGATTTGATATACGTATACACTATAAAAGGATTCCCTACGTCGAGTTAACACATCCATTGCCTCGCATGTTTACTTTTTGTGTGTGTGTGTGAAAACATTTAAGTTCTCTCTCGGCTGAATTCGTTTATACAATGCAGTGTCATCAGTTATAGTCACTACGTTATATGTTAGATTCTCAGACCTGATTCATCTTATACCTGAAAGTTTGTCTCCTTTTACCAGCCTCTGCCTAATTCCCCCACCGCCAAGCCCCTGAAAACCACTCTGCTCCTCTCTTTTTTGTTTGCTTTTTTTTTTAGATTTCGTGTATAAGTTGTCACTTATACAGTATTTGTCTTTCTTTTTAAAATTTAATAATACATTCCAGATATCTTTCCGTGTTGGTACATACAGTCTTCATTTATTTTTGATAGCTGCAGATTAGTATGGATGTGTCAGAGTTTAATCCATTAAGGGATGGTTTTTGCCCCTCAGAGGACATTTGGCCATTTCTGGCAACTATTCTGATTGTTATGACTAGGGGGAGTACTATTGGCATCTCCTAGGTAGAGGGCAGCGATGCTGCTAAACATCTTAGGATGCACAGGACAGACCTCCAGAACAAAGGACTATCCAGGACAAAATGTTAGCAGTGCCGAAGTTGAGACCTCTGCTCTGAGTTAATTGGTAGCAAGTGTGGTCTGTGGTCGTCCTCTGAGACTGAAAATGTAGTAGAACCTGTGGGCCCTCGTGGGCATTCCAGTGAGGAGATCTTTTTCTCTGATCTCTAAGAAAAACATGGTTATGATATGGCTGAAATGTCTCTGATGCCTGCTTATAGGTGAACAGATGCAATAGACCATCCTTGGAGGACGTTCCTTCACGTTTCTTTGATTCTTTAACATTCCAGAAACTCAAAGATATTCTTAGCTGTGGCTGGAGTGTGTAAGCCTGTATGTTCGGTGCTGGTGTTGAAGGAGTTGGTGCGGCTCTCTAAATATGAACCTCGTTCTTGGTGCATTTCATCTTGTTGCATCTTCTTATGTGTCACTTTAACATAGTTTGGGAGGAGGCTGTTTCTTGTCTTTGATAGTGGTGGTTGCAGCTCGGTGGTGAACTTTTTCTTTTTCCAATGGTATCTTCTTCATAGCTCAAGCTTCACCTGTGGTCTGGCCGGGGCGCTGGCCTCAAACCCTGTTGATGTTGTGAGAACACGTATGATGAATCAGAGAGTCCTTCGAGATGGCAGCTGCCCTGGCTACACGGGTACCCTGGATTGCTTGTTACAGGTGAGAATGAATGTCCATCTGTATGGAGTTGTGAATTCCTTTCGTAGCCCATGAGATTCCACATTACCCTTTGAAGAGTTTCTTATGATTTAAGAGCATAGAGTTTAGAGCAAGACAGACCTGTGGATCTGTCACTTGTAACTGTGTCTTTGGTCAAGGTCTAGACTCCTTATACCTCAGTTTCCTCATAAATAAAATGGGACAATAATAGCGCCTGCATCATAGGGTTATTGTGAAAGTAAGTGAGATAAAGCCTAGAAAGCAGTTAGCATAGGGCCTAGAATGTAGTAAGCCCTTATTGTTAGTATAATTGATAATAATAAGGGCCGCTATAAGGAAATAAGAAAATTTATTTTACTTAATCTTCAGCATTCTAGTGGATTGCTTCAATCAATGAATCTGTCTCCAAATAGATATATGTTTTATTTATTTGTTTTTTACCTAAGAGGTAACTAAATTTCGAGAGCTGTTAAAACTAAGACGAGTGATGCTCTAAAAGCCTGAGATGGTACCAGTTTTCACCACACCAGGATTACTGGTTATAAATACAAAATCTGGATGAATATTTAGAAGTGAAAGTTCATTTCTTTATATCTCTGCTCTGCTGCGAAGGGTGAGAAAATAGTCGTATTTCCTGTGATCATAGTAGAACTGTGTCTCCTTCCAAAATAGATCTCCTTCCTGTTGAGTCAAACTGGAATGAATATCCTTCGTTCAGACATCTCTCTCAAGGCAACGCGTCGATCTTTCTGTAGTTCTCAGCTTAAATAATCGAGCCTATTGTTCACGAGTGGACAAAAGTTTGAGACTGTCACCCCTACTAGATTGTTAGTTGTCAAAGGTTAGGGACCACTTTATGGTTCCTGTTATCCAGCGTGATTCTGGTGCATTCTAGACTTTAAGTACTGCTTTAATGAAGCAAAAGTACTTTTTATCCATCCAGTAACTTATGAAACAGTGGTGCTCTGAATGATATCTTTACCACCATTGCCTCTTTATTTCCGACCTGTTTATGAACCCAAATGGCTTGGAAGCAAAAGACTTTAGTTCGAATTAAATCTAATTTCTTACTCATTCAACTGCTGTGTGTTTTCTGTGAAGGGGTAGTTTGGCGTGGAGCCTTAGTCTTCACCTATGCAGAAGCCTTTAAAGAACAAGAAGAGGCAGATGGCAATGATTTCTTAAATAGTCCTTCCAAACAGGATTGTATTTTAAAGAAAAATAGATGAGTCTGGCTACTAATTATTAATACGTTTGACATAATTGGAAAGTTGGAAGTTAACTTATTTTTTTTCCCCTTAGACATGGAAGAATGAAGGGTTTTTTGCTCTGTATAAAGGGTTTTGGCCAAATTGGTTGAGACTTGGACCTTGGAACATCATTGTATCCTTTTCTGTTGTAGTAGATCTGAAAAAAGATGTAGCTAAACAAATGTTGTTTGTATAAACTATCATGTTATTAATTATAATTTAGAAGTAAGTTCTTACTTTTTTGAGTTCCTCTGATTCTAAGAACTATTCAGGTGCTTTTTTAGGAAATGTGAAGTCTGTGTGCTAGGCACTATGAATCTTGGTTTAGTGATGGTGCTATTGAAAAGTAGTGCTATCAATAAAAATTTTTATTCAGACTCTGCTCCAGAAGCTGAGTTTTTATGATTTCAGAGAGACACAAGAATTGATTTTTATCCCTAGCCACCCTTGGGAAGGAAGTGGTTTGGTGGGGGAGTTCTAGAATGCTTATTTTAGAGAGTGCCTAAGGATAAACAGGAATTAGCCCCTGAATTATTTGGCTGATCAGAATGATCCCACTATGTGCCAAAGTGGGAGGCAGGAAAGAAGTAGCAGTTTATTAGACATGAAAGGGCAGGATTATATATAAAGTAGGAAATATTGGCTTTCACCATCCTCTTATTTCTCTTTAGCTGCAGCTCCGTCCTTCGGAGGCCTGCTTAGCAGAAACCCTTGAAGAGAGCTTCCCAGGGCTTGCTGTTTTTCTCTTTCTCACAGAATTTACTGTTCTGGAAAGTCTTCCTGCCACAGCAAAGTCATAAAAGCTAGTTAGTGAGGATATAATCTTCCAAGAGGCCGTCGGAGCTGATGCTGGGGGATTTGTCTGTGTCAGCTGTGATCTTTCTGTTCCAAGGCGACCTTGGGAAGGCTTATGTGGCGATCTTCTGGGGCAGTTAGGGATGGAGCCCCTCATTTCACCACGTCCACATCATGTGGTCTGCCCAGACATATTTGTTAGGAGATGTGCTATTTGTGGGTCTGATTTCATACCTCAGGGTTGTTGAGATGGCATCTTTTTTGTCAGCCTTAACTGATAACTGCAGTTCTTTGTGACATATGAGCAGCTGAAGAAATTGGATTTGTGACAAGTCCAGGCTCCATGAGACAGCGCTCCGAAAATGCTCACTTCCGAAAGAGTAAAGCTTCCTGTGTTGCACACTGCTTCTCACCGCTTGGCTCGTCACAGATTCTGAGGTGTGAGCAGCAGATGAAGACTGGGTTAGTTCAGATTGCTGTGTGTTGGCATCAGATGCTCTGCAGCAAACATTTAATGGCATAAACTGTAACATCCAAACCCTAGTCTTTACCATTAAAGTGCCCTTCAACGTCAAAGATAACTTTTAAATGCGTGTTTCTTGCTAAGGAAAACTTGCAAGAAGATCAGGAAGTGTGTGCTGTTTTCTTCAGGGGAGAGGAGCACCTGATCCTGGCAGCTCCGAGGCGGGAAGACCCGGCTGCTCTGAACAAGCTCGTCGGAAGCAGGGAATAGAGCCTCCGGGAGGGGCTTACTGTTCCTGATCTCCTGGGGGCTTTGGCTTCTTGTCGGCTGAAGAAATCACACACGTGAAGACCTGGACTCTTCAACCCCGGGTGTAAGCAGTGCAGGAAGTAGACCTCTGGAACACTGCACTGCTTTGTAATTTCCTATTTTGGCAGGATCTTTCACTTATAATAAGTGATTTTAAGCCTTTGAAGACTTGACCTTTGTGAGGAATTGTTACAAAGTATTGACATCTAAACCCATGATGGTGTGATGTGTTGGTTTTGAAGGTGATGGGGTCCGTGTTGGTGGCAGGTGTTTCAAGCAGCTCAGGTTCTCTCTTAGGTAATGTTAGCAATTTGCTCTTTGATATTTAGCAAAGTTTTATTTCCCAATCTGTAAAATGGGAATAATAACATCTATTGATGTTAAAGGTCAAATAAAGAAACCAGCAGCTGTTACTACCTGACTTGTAGTGTGAGTGTGTTTACATCCTGCTGTCATACAGCTGTCATCCCAGAATAAATAGCCTTTGTGTATAGAAGAGTCAACTTATCAGGGGCTTCTCTTTGTAATCCTGGGTGAAGCTCTTGTTACAGGCCTTATGAAAGAAAGAGCACTGTATAAACTGAGGTTTTATTGTGTTTTCTTCAGCAAAATGTTGCAAGTGATTTCCCCAGTTTTTACTTTAGATCAGGTCATGTTTGTTAAAATATTTCATGTCTTGGGCTTCTGAATTACTTTGGATAGAAAATACTTGTTTGAAATTCTAAAAACTTTAATGCTGCACCTATTTATGTAGTTTCTGATAAGAGGTGTATAATATCTCCCTTTCTTCTTTTCTTCTAAAGACAAGATAAATCATTCTCCCTCTTCTTTTTTTGTTGAGGAAGGTTAGCCCTGAGCTAACATCTGCCGCCAATCCTCCTCTTTTTGCTGAGGAAGACTGGCCCTGAGCTAACATCCGTGCCCATCTTCCTCTACTTTACATGTGGGACGCCTGCCACAGCATGGCTTGCCAAGTGGTGGCATGTCCGTACCCGGGAACCGAACCGGCGAACCCCGGCCGCTGAAGCGGAACATGCGAACTTAACCGCTGCACCACCGGGCTGTCCCCCTGCCTCTTCTTTCTCATCTTCGACTTATTCGTTTCAAAATAAAAAGTGACTCTGAGAGCCCCAGGAACTTTGCACTTCTAGAAGACAGCCCAGGAAAGGGAAATATTTACTTGGGGCACCTTCAGTTCTACGCTTGGAGGACAACATTCAATACATACTAACTGGGGCTCCAGGGCATGCACTTCTGCATGTGTGCCGGGCACTTACCCTCTAGCCCCTGGGCTGCCTCCTCCCTTCAAGCAGAATAGAAAGAAGGGATGCAGGTTTTCCTTGGGCATTGGACAGTTTTCCTCCCAGTCACTTTCAGCTTGCCTTCTTTGTTAATGTTGACTTTGACAAAGATTTTGTGCAGCACAATTTTATTTTCAAAAGAAAGAGCTGAGACAAAGTCATTAAAGAGAAAGGGAAAAAGAAGGGGAGGTGGAGTGGCATGTAGGTGTTAGTTGCTTAAAGACTAAGATGAAAGTTCAGATCTCCTTGGCCAGCTGTAGACGTGACTCTGGGACGCTAGGCTCCTTCAGGCTTCACTTCTGGTACCAAACCATATCTTTATAGAGAGGAGAGTTCTTTCTTCTTACCAAAACATTCCATTAATGTGGTAAGGGCTTTCTATAGAAAGGCGTTCACTTTCAAGTTCCTTGAGCTTAAAGGATTACTTTATATGAACCACTTTTTTTTTAATGTAGAAATTTTCCTTTTTAAGTGTACATATAATTTCTAAAACAGTAGAAGGAAGTTCATTTTAAAGACCATGCAATATTCATTCTATCAATTTATTAAAATTATGCACATGTTCATACCAGGATGAAAAGAAATTCAAACCTCACTGTGAAACTTAAGCACGTTTTTGAGACAGAAATTTAGTATTTCTTCAGTGTAGATTTATTAAACACTCTGTAGAACAGAATCTTAACCTGTGTTGGTTTTTCTGCTTCCTGAAGGGGTTAATGCCATTGTTGAAGCTTCTAACCAAGAAAGAATTAAAGGCTTGGGAGACTTGCTCCCCTTGTTTTCAGGGGTGTGGCTACAAGTTCCTCTGCCCCCTTGGATATGCGTAAATGTAGCAAAAGGATTTTTAGCTTTTATAACCAAAAAGAAGAAAGTGGAATTTTTCATTTGCTTGTGGAGTTCTGTAATTATTGATGGTAAATGTTGCTGATCTGTGATATAAAAAATGACTCCTGTTCTTCATATTTATTCATGTACTCGAAATAGTATGTATTATCTGAAGACTATAAATTTTTCATATGCCTTCATATTTTGAGCTCTTTATTTAAACATCATTGGAATATGTGGCCTAAACCTTGTTTCATTATTTAATAAACTGAAGTAATATATAATAATAAAAATAACGTGTGATTATTTCAGATAAATAGAAATATTTAAACAGAGACTAGCTCCAGAGAGTCCAGAGGGCTGGAGTAGAAATAGCGTTTGTGAAAGTGGCTTCAGACAGTTCTCTCTGCACAGGGAAGTTGTTGGGATCATCTTACTCATTGCCTGGACACCTGTGTGCCCTCCCATTGTATGAAATACCCTGCAGCTCAGTAGAGGCCGGTGAATTTGATTCGTGGCCTGGCTTGGCAGGGCACCCTGGAGAACACCACTGTGCTGACATCAGTGCCCTGCACTTTCAGGTTCCCCCAGTCCTCCTTCCACTGTTGGGTGTTGACCAGAGGCAGGAACTGGGATCCGAGGTTAACTGTGGACTAAGCAGAGACGTCTCTGGTTGGCATAAAATAACCAGTGCAGGAAATGCAAACCTGGTTCATTCATTTTTTTACTTAAAAATATTTTCTAGGTGCCTGTCGTCTTAACATTTGAATTAAACTTAGTCTCTTAAAAAAACAGAATTGGGAAAAAGGGGGAGGCTTTCTGTCTCAGTTCTCCCCCCTGAGAGATTAAGTGACGTAGTTGTACAGGATTGACTTTCTGTGGAGGTCCCGGAGAGCAGCCCGCCGCTGGTGTTTCTCAAAGGCCTGTGAATAGTAGAACTCACACTTGCCTAGCACCTGTTAGACTCTTTTGGCCTTAAATCCAGGCTATTTATTTTTAAACTGGCAGCTGGGAAAATCTGATAGGGTCGATTTTCGGTAGATTATAAGTAGATCCATTCTGAAGCAAAGCATAGGAATACAAGACAAGGGCAGTGTTTGAATCGCTTTCTTGAAAGCTTGATGCAAAATAACGGAACCAAGAGCAAAACACTGGAAACTACCTATGTGTGTCTACTCCCCCCCCCCCCCCCGCCCCGCTTACATCATAATGTGTGCAGTGGCTTACTGTGTGGTTCCTGAGAAGAATGAGTTGGATCTCAGCCTGTTAATCTGGAAAGATGTCCAGGATATGTTGTTAAGTAGAAAAAAGTTAAGATGCAGACTCGTACGTATACCACAAACTCATTTCTTAGGGAAAAAGCATAAACTTTCATAGGTAGGAAATGGATTTAAAGGATGTGCATTAGAGTTCTGTAGAGAAACAGAACCAATAGAGTGTGTGTGTGTGTGTGTGTGTGTGTACACATACATGAATTACTTTAATGAATAGGCCCATGCGATTGTGGGTGATCGACGAGTCTGAAATCGGTAGGGCAGCAGGGCAGGCCAGTAGACTAGAAACTCAGGTGGGATTTCTGTTAGTCTTGAGGCAGAATTCCTTCTTCTCCATGAAACCTCAGTTTTTTCTCTTAAAGCCTGTAACTGATTGGATGGGGCCCACCCTGTTGTGGAGTGTAATCTTAACGTCAGCTGACCGTAGATGTTTTTCACATCTATAAGATACCTTCACAGCAACATCCAGTGTTTGCTGTACAACTGGACGGCCATAGCCTAGCCAAGTTGATGTAGAATTTAACTATCATAGGGTAGAAAGAATTAGTAATGTTTTCCTTATACATAATTGTATTATATTGGTTGTTTCAAAAGCCTATATTTTGTAATTTAAAACCAAAATCTGTAAAGAAAAGAACGAAAAGGACCTAGCTTGGAATACAGATGTCCAAGTCATGGAAAACAGAAGTTGCAGTATATATAATATTCTAACTATAATGTTTCTAAAAGTGTACTAATTGTCTATCAACCTTAAAATTGAACTAAAAGGATTAATGGAAAACTTTTGCTGTTTATTTCGGTTTTTAACCACTTCGTTTTTATTCAGTGAACTTAATACTATGATTAAAAAAAAAAGTTAACCTTTTTTTTTGACAGAGGGAACCTCTAGAAAGAGGGCATCAATGTAGACTGTGTACTTACCCTCTAAACTTCTAGGTTATTTTACACAATTCTTGGTCTTCTTGTGACTGTACTGACTTTCAAATTTATACTGTTGCATTGCGTTATATGGTGGAGACAGCTATGTTCCCTGTTAAGAGGTTTTGCTTCATTAATTATAATCCTTTGAATATATTTCTGAAACACTCTCCAATTCTTTATGGAAAGAGAAGCTGGCTAAGGGTAAGCTATTGCCTGTCTCCACCAGATGTATCTGTGACAGTTCTGATGACTCCAATTAGAAGGAATCCACATTGTACAGTTAGAGCCAGGGTTACAAACATCCAAGAGCTGCTTAAGGCCACTAGCAGGCTTCATCTTTAATTGCATCACTACTCTAGTTTGCTGTCCTGCTTTGTGCTTTTTTTTTTGGTGAGGAAGACTGGCCCTGAGCTAACATCTGTGCCAGTCTTCCTCTATTTTGTATGTGGGATGCCACCACAGCATGGCTTGATGAGTGGTGTGTAGGTCTGTGCCCAGGACCTGAACCTGTGAACCCCAGGCCACTGAAGTGGAGTCCACAAACTTAACCACTACACCTCTGGGCCAGCCCCTGTACTTTTTTAACATGATAATTTGAACATAGTAGATACTGCAATAAATACTTGTTGCATTAAATCGAAGCAACCTACTAAGATTTGCTCATTACTTCTGGGAGTCTTACAAGGAGTCAGTGAGAACTGGGATGAGAGGACTGCACGTAGTATTTCCTACTGATTGCTTTATTCACCATGTTTCTTTTGTGATGCTCAAAGAATTCAAAACCTCTGTGAGGTAATGTTTAGTTTGGGCTGAGATTAATTTTTAAAAATTATGGTAAAATATATATAAAATAAATTTGCTCTTTTAACCATATTTAAGTGTACAGTTCTGTGGCATTAAGTGCATTCACATTGTTGTGCAACCGTCACCACCATCCATCGTCAGAACTTTGAGATGAGTGGTTTTGAGCGGGTCTTGGTCCTTCAGTCATTTGGCAGTGTTCATCTTGTGGCCCTGGGACAGGCCCACACTGGAAGGTAAGATCCCAGAACTTGCATCTGATACTTTTTTTCATTGTGGTAAAATATACATAATACCAC